CGTTGATTATTCGTATTTGTGTAATATTAACTGATTTTGTTGTTCCATACGTAGACAACCTTGAATGGTTGGATAAACAAAAGAGTCGTTGTCGCATATTCTGGCGCTCTCCAGCGGATTGGGGGAAGTTGATTTATGACTGGGTTCGTGTTCGTGTTTGCACTGGTAGTGTTTAATACACATGTGGTTTTCAGATAGTTAGCACTGGTCAGCTCCAGTCCGTCTGCACGTTGTACGAATTGGCGCACGGCGAAGACACCGTCAACGAAGGTAAATTTTAATCCTTTTTTCTTTCGCATAGATCATAACACTGAGCCGCTTTAGTTGCTTGTTGATATACGGACTTGAAGTAATGGTTTTTACGGTAGAGTCAAATATGACAGGTTTCGAAAGAACAAATCGAGATACCCTCGACTGTGAGCCGCTTCTTCTCTGAGTCCAGAGGTCACATTATGATAGTTTCAGCACCTGACAAAAATGCCACCGGAGAGACTTGCGCAGCAAATCTTTTGGCAAGGCCACGGAAAAGACCGTTGAAGAGCAAATTACGGACCAAGCGGCTCAATTATGTAAGGGTCCTGGCATTGCCGTAGTTTAAAATTCAGACCATTGAGCTTTACTGTTTGGTGGCAGACAAGGGCCATTTGAAAGGTCTGGAGCAGCTGTCCCGCGACCCGAAGAAGTAGCAAGCTTTGAAAATGAATGAGTTAGTAGTACAGTGGCTGCCTCGGTTAGATCATTCTTTCAAATTTAGCCTGTTTGGTCTGGCAACTCATTTCTCGTGATCAGGTTCATCACGGTTGGTTCATCATTTGATGTAACAAAACGATATCTGGAAACACCATGTGAAGGCGATCAGCGTCAAACAACCTACCTCCCCTTGAGAACGTACTTCTGAAGACCAAACAACTGCTCTAGTACTTGGCTCGTAACTGAACACTGGCTGAATCTGAACCTCACGTTTTTTCCCGCAGTTAACCACGGTGTAGCTGACTGACTCTTGGAGACTGCTTAAGTTGAATTCTGGAGAAGGACGGTTGCGACTACTGAGGAATAAAGGTTACTGATTCACGCTGTCCGCGATTACACTAACTACTAGAGGGTTGAATTCTTTTTGGGCTATAATACGTTATAGCGGCGAGTACCATTTCAAACTGTTTTAACAAAGGCATAACATATGAAGAAGAAATTGTGGTGGACTGTCATTCCAGAGTATACCCACCATGTTAGGTTTTAAGCTTGTTAAGAATTTCGAGTCGGATGTGG